GACTAGCACACCTGGTCGGCATCCCCATCAATACCCATGGAACTCGGCGTTTCTGAAGAAGTTCTACGAATAGGTCTAGGCTATTCTTACTCAGTAAATACGTTATTGTGTAAATTATTTGATGTAATTTACTTTTTGCTTTTCGAGGCTAGGTCGTCTTAGGCTTAGATCGAGTCGAAGCGGCGTAATTAATGTAATAAGAAAGTGCGGGCTGGGTTTAGTAGGATGACCCGGCCGACGCAAGCTGGGGTCAACTAGGAAGCCCGGTCATGCTATTAATACCACCGAGTTAGAACGCGAGACCAGTTAGGTAAGCTGCCACGTGATAACTAAGTGCAGGTCGGTTCCAGCGCGATAGACCGGCCGGCACGAGCCAGGCTCAGCAAAGTAGCCCGGTCAGGCCAAAGCTGCGAACGTACAAAATGAATATCGAGCTCAATCATGAAGTCCGGCCAGGCTAGACCGTAGCCCGATCCAACAAACAGATCGGACAGGTAAGGCGCCCACATTAGAAATAAATGCCGAGTCCGATCACGAGGCTCGACCTAGTAATAAATAAGTGTCGAGCCCGATCACGAGGCTCGACCAAGTAATCAATAACTGTCGAGCCCGATCACGAGGCTCGGCCAAGTAATAAATAAGAGCCAAGCCCGATCACGAGGCTCGGCCGAGTAATGAATAAGTGTCGAGCCCGATCATGAGGCTCGTCCAAGTAATAAATAAGTGTCGAGCCCGATCACGAGGCTCGGCTAAATAATAATCAAGCATCAAGACCGACCATGAAAACTTGGCCGAGGAGCCCAACACCTCGATCAAACATATAAAGCTTGGCGACACGCGGCTCTTCCAGGTAAAAGTTGTCGTTTTAATTATGTAAATATGAACAGTCGGGCTCAAGCGCAGGCCGGCTAGGCCAAAATACCGTGGAGTCCGACGAAGTGACTCAGTTAGGTAAAATGCGCCACCGTAATTAGCGCAATAAAATGCACAAGCCGGACTCAACAAGCAGCCCGGTCAGGCCAAACCGTGGCCGAGTCCAACATGCGGCTCGGTCAGGCGGAAGGACTAAACATCGTAATTACTAATGCAATCAATTGCACAAGTCGGGCTCGACAAAGGGGCCCGGTCAGGCCGAGATGCCGTAAAACTAAAGGCCAACGAGCCATAAGACCGAAATGCCGTAAAACTAAAGCCTACGAGCCATTAGGCCGAAATGCTGTAAAACTAAAGGCGCACGAGCCATTAGGCCGAGATGCTGTAAAACAAAGGCCTACGAGCCATTAGGCCGAGATGCCGTAAAACTAAAGGCCTAAGAGCCATCAGGCCCAAATGCCGTAAAACTAAAGGCCTACGAGCTATTAGGCCGAAGTGCCGTAAAACTAAAGGCGTACGAGCCATTAGGCCGAAATACCATAAAAATAAAGGCGTACGAGCCATTAGACCGAGATGCCGTAAAACTAAAGGCCTACGAGCCATTAGGCCGAGATGCCGTGAAACTAAAGGCCTACGAGCCATTAGGCCGAAATGCCGTATAACTAAAGGCTTACGAGCCGTAAGGCCGAAGTGCACTGAAACTAAAAACCGAACTCCAAAAACAGTTTGGCTCAACAAAATATGCGACAAGATGCTCTCATTATCATACATTCATCACAAACATTTATCATACGTTCATCACAAACATTCATCATACATTCATTACATACATTCATCATACATTCATGCATTCAACATATGATCACATCATGCATACCATCTTGTAAGAAACACAGTGCTCAAAGCTCAATCGAACAAAGAGCTCAAAGCTCAGTCAGACAAAGAGCTCTAAGCTCACTCATGTCGACAATTCGAAATGCATTCTCACATAAAAACGAGTACCAAATTACCCGACCAGGCCGTTCAAGCCTCATCCAATAGCAATTTAGAAAAATTGCCCATTATCTCAAATTGAATCAACTCGTCAAATATCAAAGCGTGATTATCATAAATCCATCAGGCCCAAGCATAAAACGATCAACAAAACGCTCCAGGGTCCCAAAGCGCCCTAAAATTACATATTAACTAGTGATAAAATCAGCATCTTTCGCCAAAAAACTCCTCGAAGGGAGAGAAAATAATAAGTCCTCGAAACACGCAGAACAAAAAGCCGTACGCTAAATCCATCTAAAGAAGACTGACAAGATAAAAAAGTGATCTCATGAATCACGCGAAAAGTACCCGCCACGCGCACTTGTCTACATATTTGCGATTTCACCAATATCTCTCATTACGCGTATATCCTTACACGATATAAAGAGCTCGAAGCTCGAAAGATCATGAGTCGAAAACATTACCAAATTGTAAAGAATAAACGCGACTTCAGAATAGTTCAATCCAGAACATGTCCTAAACTCGGAAGCCTCCTGTTGATACCCAATTTGGCTTCGATTAATTAAATAATAGATAAAATATGACCCAATAATCGAGGAGCCAAAAATACGTAATAGATAAATATACAAACAGGTTCTCATCACTAATCACCAGAAAGCCAATCGGATCCCTCGATGTTGAGTTCGCCCGCTGTCGAGCCTGATAGAGTTCAAAGTAATCGAATGGCCGGCATTTCATGAAGAAGCCACCTTCGGTAAATGCCACAATTTCCGAAAGGACGGATGTCAGTCGAAACCGTCAAAAGTCATGAGCGAGCCCCACAATGACTACCTCACATTAAATAAGGATGTACCATTTTTATTTATGTAACTACTCACTTGCACAATAATGGAGGGGATATATATTTGTAAAAAAAAAAACATTCATTCTCTCTTCTTCTCCCTCAACAACTCAAAAAGAGAAGAAAAACTCTCCAAAAAATAAGAAATAAAATACCCCATTTCAATATCTTGTCCTTTATTTTTCATACTAAAGATTCGATTCATTTTCAACGATTGATCGTCCGATTTTCGATATCAACAGTCTCTATGGCCGTAATGGTCGTGGGGGGCAACCAGTCCGTCCGGGCATTACGTCTATGATTCCGGTCGAAAAAAAATAGAGAGCGAGCAGCTTAGGCCTGACGCGCAGCAGCCAACTACGAGAGAGAGTGGCCGAGAAGCCATTGGATTTTTCAGTCACCGTCGCACGACAAGTTTTCCTAGGTCGAGTAGGCTGAAGCCTAACCACAAGGACGACAACGAAAATCCTAACAAGTAACGATGGTTTAATCCGTAGACTTAGTGGGCTATTAAAGTAATGGGACAAACAAAAAAGAATAAAGTGAAGAAAAGAGAGGCTGGCCAATTGATAAATAATACAGATGAGGAGAGAGTCGAGCCTAAGGTGTTAATTGGCCCAGTAACAACAAAAAAGAGAGAGACAATGCCAATACATCAATTGGCTATACGAGCTGCAACGAGTTTGAGTAAAAGAAAGAAATAAAGTTGCGGGCTTCTAGAGGGAGTAGGAGGAAACTGTTGGGATTTATGAGGATCTCGTTATGTACAAGTCACGAATTTAATAGCAAACGTAAACCTATTCACAGCGGATCTAAAGGTTTGACGTAGAAAACTTACGGTTTAAATTTTTTTGAATCTGTCGGATTCGGGATGACCGGGAACAACACACGAATGGATGGATCACACGAACAAAACGTCGAGTCGCATGCGATCGCATCAGCAGGCTCGTGTAGCGTGTAGTTGGCAGGTCGTGTCGCGTCGCCAGGCTCGTGTCGCGCCGATCGGGTCGCTGGCAGTTCTCCGGCTGGTCGGGCGGCGGTCGGCGGTCGTCCGACTGGTCCGTGTTGGTGACTTCTGTAGATGATCACCGGGTCTCGAATATCTTAGGATATTCTACTGTATTACTCAAACACCTCTTCAACTCGTATTGGTGGAACAACGAGGAAAAGAGCTCGAATGAGAACTGAGAGAGAGAGAGAGAGTGGTGTAGATTAGTATATGTTATTATTATTATTATTATTATTATTATTATTATTATTATTATTGTTGTTGTTGTTGTTGTTGTTATTATTATTATTATTATTATTAGGTCTTAGAGAATAAGTTAGGAATATAATATTATTGTTTAATATTTAGTAAGAGATCTTGTCTTGTTGGACAAGTTAAGGTCTAGGTTATGAGCTTTATTTAAAGGGCTCTTCTGCTTTGTTATGAGGGGGTTGATTTTGAATAAAACTATGAATTGATATATTGTTTTGATGTTCTTGAGATTGAGATCTCATTGATATCATCCCACTCGTACGCTTCCCTACATCAGTTGGTATCAGAAGTCAGCATGATTCAAGATGCCACCACGGAAGGACGACATCGACGGGCGTGACGCCACAATTGAGTATCCGGGTCGACAAGCCATGAGCTTCGACCGCCAGGTCAATCAATTGGATTGTCGGATTGAGAATCTTTCGTCGGGGATCGAAGAAGTGCGTCTTACGATCAACAACATGGTTGAGGATTTACAGACGAACCGTGATGCCAGCAATCGAGGCGTGCACGGGGGAGTTCACGGGGGACGTGGAGGCCGTGGTCCAGGTGGGGCCCCCGCTAGAGATCTCCACAACCACCATCTGGCGATGAAGACTGCGAGGAGACAATCTCGAAGGTGAATCCCTTCGGCGATTATCCAACCCCGCATGTCGAGGCGGACCCTTTCGCTGCATACAGTGGCCGTGACATGCGGTGATGGTCCCGGTCTTTGTGGACGGTGACGATCAACGCAGCGACAGGGGCTAGCGTGAGGAGGCAACTCGATTGGGGACTTGATCGCGAATATGGTCATTGGGAAGGCCCGTTTCACGTTGACATCCCGGAATTCAATGGAGAGCAAGTTGACGGGCCATTGTACGACGGTCCGCAGATCTTTGATGAAGAGCCTCCAGTGATAGGAAAAAAATCTTTGCAGGGACACGGGAATCGATGAGGATATAGCTGTCTGCATGGATGGCGATGACTACAAAATTCGCAGTGGATCGGTGTCAGTTAATGTAGATTCGGCTATTGCTACATCCATTGCTTATGATTCTTGTGATTAGTGGTATCACGTTTTTTGTGTGGGATTTGATCTTGAAGGCAGATGTGATTGCTCATGGTTGTGCCCAATCTGTTGCTGATGTTGGTGAGACAGCTGTAGACGTAACCCTGTCTGATGAAAATCAAGAGAGTGTTGATCTGGTCGTATTTGACCGGGGAAAACGACAGGCGTTTCATACCATGGGTTTGATACCACATGCCGGCCACGGGATCGCGTCGGCTTCGAGGGCGAAGCCTTCCGAACCGGGGAAGAATGGTGTAGATTAGTATATATTATTATTATTATTATTATTATTATTATTATTATTATTGTTATTGTTATTATTATTATTATTATTATTATTATTATTATTATTATCATTATTATTATTATTATTATTATTATTATTATTATTATTATTATTATTATTAGGTGTCTTAGAGAATAAGTTAGGAATTTAATATTATTGTTTAATATTTAGTAAGAGTTCTTGTCTTGTGGGACATGTTAAGGTCTAGGGTTAGGAGCTTTATTTAAAGGGCTCTTCTGCTTTGTTCTGAGGGGGTTATATTTTGAATAAAAATATGAATTGATATATTGTTTTGATGTTCTTGAGATTGACATCTCATTGATATCGTCCCACTCGTACGCTTCTCTACATCAGAGAGAGAGGGCCGTGCGTTTCACACGTTATCTAGCAATTCTGTTCTCTTCTCATGAGCTTAATGATGTATATATAGAGCTACAGTAGGGATCCTTAGGAGATTAGGAATAAGACTCCTTAATTAATTGGACTAACTGTGGGCCAAATCCACTCCTCCAATTAATTAAATAATATTATGGGCCACTAACATAATGTTACTGCACTCCATTTTCCTAGCCGAAATTACATTTGAGACTCTAATTACAATTATCCGATTTATCTCCTCATGTTTAAGATATAATGTCCACTAATTAATTCGATTACTGACAATCAATAATTAATTAATATATTATTATTTCACCGAAGCTAGCGCTCGTTCATCACATTATTATTATGCCGGAACTTAATCCACCTGCAGGTTTTAGCATAACAATCCTTCATGGACTCATTTCGGGGACATCATCAGGCTAACGCACATGGTGACCATAAATATCCTAACAGCACATCATACATATAACAATATTACCCAAGATAGTAGGAATATTAATCCAGCGAACTGAACCTCACCCAAGTGAATCAAAGTAATATATACTGCATATATATGCCTGTTTGATATCTTACGGTTTAAGAGAATGCAGTAATTAACCAAGGCCTAGTTCGTTTACGACGATCAATATATAACGAATTTATCCTCTCTGCGATCCTGTTCAATACATAAATGTACTAGTGAAACTAATCAGTCAAGACCAACCGTACCGTTGACACTACAACCGTTCGGATGGGGTGTTCATTTCCATCTAGGTTGTGAACCACAATTCTCATTTCGCAAGTAACTGATAGAATGATCTTCTGTTCGCCTGATGACGACCCATTCGATCTAAGTGCAAAACAACAGAACATAGAACTTGTTTAATCTAACTTGATTCTCATTCATAAAGGATAAAGTGTAATAACATCCAAAGCCAAGCTTTCAGTATATAACACTAACAGAAACAACCTACCTCAGTTAAGAAGAAACAGAGCAAACGTAGGATTTTGTAAAAGAGGTCAGGTTATTCTTGGACGGTGAATTTTGAGAAGCAGCTAGTTTGAAGAGAAAAGTAAGGAAAATAGTTGAGGAAAGTAGTCGCTGTTCTTTCCAAAACAAGACAACATGCAGCTACAGACAAGGAGAACAGAAAATGCCAACGAGCAAGTCTACGGCTGCATCATGAAGGCCTAACAAGTCTCGTCACGACGACAACAATAAGAAGGCATATGAAATCAGGTCGGGGCAAGCGGGGAGCCCAAGTTTTAGCTGCAAGTTTTGGAGAAAAAAAAAGAGAGGTAGCCATAGTAAGAGGATAACATTAGGGCCAACAGAGGGAGTATGATGGTGGCTGCAGCAGTTTTCTAAATTGTAGCTACGGCAAGGCTGCCGCAGAAGCAATCTCGTCATGACATGGCTGCAACAAAAGAGAAGACTCAAACACACACACAAAAAATAAAAAGAGAGAAAAAAATATAACAACAGAAGGTTTGCAAGCAAAAAATGACTACAAGAATTTTACATACGGGAGCAGCCGTGGGTTTTCAAGAGAGAAGAGAGACAGTTGCCAGTTTTAAAATAAATTAAGATGAGGCAACTGCAAGATTTAGCAAGTAAAAAGAGTACAAGGAGGAAAGTAGGTCTTAGCACTAAGAAATAAAAGTGAAGAAGTGGCCTACGGCTGCAAAAGTTCGCACAGACGCTGGACAACTGCAGAGTGGTTTGATGAAAGATGATGTGAAGAGGTAAATAAAGATTGAAAAAAATAGAGAAGTTGTGGGTTGCAGCAAATTTTAAAGAAAAGAAAAGAAGAAGTCGCGATCTTTTTCTGAAGGAGTTTCCATAAATTTAAAAAGAAAAGTAGCAGCGACAAGGAAAATAGAGCAGCCGTAAGTTTTCCTCAAAGCAGGTCGCAACGAGGTAGCAACAAGAAGGTGACAAGGTATTGGTGACAAGGTATTGGTGACAAGGTATTGTCGTGATACGGCTGCAAAAAAACTCGAACAAGTGATGGTAAAAGCAATAGGTAGTTGCAAGATAAAAGAGCAGTTGGTGCAAAGCGAAAGAAGTATCCGTAAAGAAAGGAGGCAACAACCGTTTTGAAGGCAGTAGATAGCAGATGACCCGGTAGCAACTGCAGAAAGAGAAGAGAGTGGCTGCCGCGAAAGGGCGAGCAGTTGTAGGTATTGGCAGAGAAAAAAAGCAGGTTTCTTTATA